CTCCCAAAATCATATAGATTGTGCCCCTCTTTACTGGTATCTCCACCCTCGACTCCTCTCGAGCACCACTCCCTCGGCTCCTCTTTTCCCCCCTATCGTCACCCTCTCTATCATCGTCTCTGTCGCTCCTTGCTACCGAATCCTCCATGCACCTCCTTTTCTCCTTCCCTCGTGGTCGATCCCGAATGACAAACTCCTTTAAATGTCCTGCCCTTATGAGGTGCTCAATATCATCTTTCAAATGTCTACAATCCTCCGTATTATGTCCATAATCCCTATGGAATCTGCAGTATCTACCGGATCTAGGCTTTGTCGGCCCCTCAAATCTCGTCGCTGGCCACGTGACCTCCTTACTCTCCAGCTTCTCCTCGATGGCCGCCAGGACTTCACCCATTTGGGCGTTAATAAGAGTGAAAGTGTTATATCGTTGGCCATTGGGTAACCGAGGTCGCCCTTGCCAGCGGTCCTCTCTCCCTCCGTGAAACGGGTTTCGCCCCTCCCTTCTGGGCGACGCTCTCTTGGATGAGCCATTCTTTAGGGGGTTTCTCCTAGGTGATCCTCTCCTGGGCGAATTCGGCTTTTCCTTCCTTTGATCAGGCCTCGCCACCTCTTCGAGTTTAGCGAACTCCGCCTCTGTCTCTTCCAAATTGATGTACTTCTTGCACCTCTTGAGCACCTCATTGTAAGTTCGAGCAGGCGTCTTTGCCAGTGACGTTCGACATGGCCTTGGTCGCAGACTTCTGATCAACCCTCCTGCCTTCACCTCGTCGCCCGCCGTGGGCACCTCCAAACACATTTGATTGTATCGAGCAACATATTTCCGCGGGGACTCTTTCTGGCCTTGTCGCATCGCCATCAAAGTGAGGTATGTCTTCTCCTGGGCGACCGCACTTGAATATTGATTAGTAAGTTGCTCTGCGAAATCCTCAAAGTCTTTGATCGAACCGGGAGCTAATTGGTGGAACCAGTCGAGTGCGCCTCCTCGTAAGGTCGACAGAAAAGCCCTGCAACTGACTGGATCCGAATACCCGTGCAAAACGGACATGTTTTCAAATGCTCTTACATGCCTCGACGGGTCGCTCGACCCATCAAAAATCAAATTTATCTCCCGGAAACTCGCAGGCAGTGGTGCAGCTAGGATAGCCTTCGAGAACGGGTGTCCTCGAGCACGCCTATTCGGCCTCCCTTCTACCTTCTCCTGCAGCTGCCTGAGCTGCTCGGCCATCCTCTCCATTGCCCTATCTCTGTGTTCGCCTCCTCCGCCATAACTCGACACGTCCTCCTCTTGTGTTCCTGGCACCGTGGTCGGTGTGGTAGCAGCCTGGGACGTCTGGTGAGTAACCTGCTGTACAGCCTGTGCCGCCGCGTTGGCCATCATCCTCTGCATTTCTTCTCTCGTCATGGTCACCATTTGTTGAGCAGGGGGTTGCGGCGCTCCTCCTGCCGGTGGCACCACTGTCTGCACTGCTGGTTCAATCTGTTGCGTCACAACCGGGCCTGCTTGCAGCGGTGTGAGGACTGCCGTCGGCGCTGCTTCAGGAGCCTCGTGCTCCCTGCTCGTGCCTTCTTCTCCACCCGGGATCGCTGTACTCAGGGGCATCCGCGTTGGGGTCACCGGTGTTCGGGATGGTCCAGAGAATCCGGGTGGGGGTCCTGCTCCCATCGGTCTTGTCGTCGTCCACGCTTCATCAAATGACGACTGCAAATTCACTCGAGGAACTCCGTCCGCCATAGATGAGCTCAGAACACAACTTTTCGAACGAGAGTCCCCACAGACGACGCCAATAATACAAGTCTCGCACCCCGACCGGCTGGAAGTCGCTCTAAACTCGCTCTCCTCGCCGATTGAACGCGGAACCTGCACGAAACTCCTACACCGGAAGTGTTTTCCGGTGAAGAGCCTCCAACGCTCAAGTCAGATCTTGAGAGAGAAAGTATATCAGTGAAATATGTGAGAGTATGAGAGATTGTACCGAAGATGAGGATTCTCGCCCCTATTTATAAGGGCGAGTTACCTGAGCTGCACGCGCGAGCAGGGCGAGTTCGGCCAACTGTCCTCTGCTCGTCCATACAACCGCGCGCCTCCACTATCTTTGGTGTCAGGAAACGCGTCCCCTTTGTCAGAGAATGTCAAAGTTTGTTATGGCTATTAACCACTCATAGTCTGCCGCGTGCCCTCCCCTTTACGTGCCGGAGATTCCCTTGTGCACTCCGACATTCGACCAGTTCTACACGTCCACGCCCTCCTCGATCGCCCTTCCTCGACCAGCTTCTCGAATGACTTGTATCTGTCGACCACTTCTGATCTCCTTAGTCGCTGCTATCTTCTCTATGTCCTCCGCGGCAGGTGTCTGATCTTGCTCGACCATATCATTTGACCCATTCTTACTTAGGTAGTCCGACGAACCGGCCTATCTTTCTCTGATTAGCCCTGCGAACCGGTCCAGTATATAGTATCCCATATCAGTATATGTATGGTATATAGTCAGTATATTTTCGATATATGATAAATGAATTTATCGCGAGACATAATTTTTATGTATAGTAAGTATATGTTCAGTATATGTTGTGTGTATAAGTAGTATATACTCTCTATATGTTCAGTATATTTTGTGTGTATAAGCAATATATACTAAATATAAACTCAATATATACTGTCCATTCAAGACATAAATATAAGTAACTTGTTATAATATGTTTATAAACTATATATATATATATATATACTTTTATGTTTTTTTTTATGGATTTGTTTTGTATATGTATTGTTTATTTTTTAGTAAAACTGCTTACAAATAATAAAAGTAAAATAAACAATACATAGAAAAAACATATACATTTAATATACCAAAAAGAAAACGATATATATACCACTTGAAGTGTATGTACATAATATATTTGCAGTATATGTACATAATACATGTTTTTTCAGTATATTTGCAGTATATGATCAATATATTTGCAGTATATGTACATAATACATGTTTTTATCTCTCTATTATTTTACGATCAGTATATGTATAGTATATGTGCATAATCTTTTATGGAATACATGTATTCGTTGCAACATATACGCAATATATACTAACATAAACACAATATATACTCACCTGCACAAGTGCGTGAGTTAGTTACTTTAGGCATTAATATAGATAAACAAAGTCTTTTTGTTGTGTATATATGTGGTTTATTTTTTAAGAAAATTGTTTAATGCATAAAAGTAAAATAAAAAATAAGTAAACTCAACATATACAAAAAGATATCCAAAAATTGATTTAAAACAAACATAAACTTTATTTTTTATTTATATCTATGGTTTATAGACAGTATATTTTTGGTATATGTATGGTTTATATTTAATAAAATCATGGAATATACATATAATACATATACCAAACATTTTTTATGGTTTATTTTATGTATATATATATTTAATATATATTCAGTATATATTTAAACAAAAGATTTTGTTTGTGTGTAAAATCACAATCCATGCAGCATAAGGTGAGACAACAATTTTTAAATTTTTTTATTTTTATTTTTATTTTATTTTTATTTTTTTTTCCATCACACTAGTCATCTTATTTTGAGAGCATCTCCAATGATGAACGTGAATTATGGTATATAATAGATGGCTTCTATCCACGTGGATAGAATAGAATGACAGGTTCATAAATAACTCTCCAATGGTCTACACACAGTAAATGTCTATACAAATTTTTTTTATAATTTTTTTTCTTTTGTTGTTCTAAAAAATAAAAAAATAATAAAAAAAGATTGCAGGGTCATACCAAGGATATATATTGCACAAAAAGTTTACTCTCAGTTAAAGGGTGACAAAATATATATTATTATTCTACTGTGCTTGTAGTGTATAATGATGATATTTATTATGTATTTTAATGCATAATTTTAACAAAATATATACTATTAAATTTATAATAGGTATTTTGTATCGGTATTTTTTTTTTTTTTAAAAATCTCCTTTATTATGTATTTTAATACATACTTATAACAAAATATATACCATTAAAATTATAATATGATTTTAGAAGTCTTTCAATTTTTTTCTTTTATTTTTTTTATGTAAATTAATCTGTCTTTGATAAGTGTGTACCAATAAATACCAACAAACTATAATTTAATCAACGACTTACATTATAAATTAATTTTTTTTCTTCAAGTTTAGTTAGTCTTGTTTAGTTAATACTATATACTCCTATATAATTTATTAAATTTTATTGTTTATGAATTATATAAGGATAATATAAAATAAAAAAAATAAACAAAGGAAAAAAAAAAAGACTCATTACATCTATAAGGACTTCTACATGTAGAACTACATGTAGAAGGACTTTTAGAATAATTCTATCTCTTTCATGCCACATCAACATAAATAGAAGCAGAAAATATACCGCTGGAGAAGTTCTTTTATCAGATTGCTTCTACAATCTCGCAATTAACATACGATTGAAGATGCTCTGATCATCCTCGAGAAACAATTTTTTAATATCTTAATTTCATTGGATATACATCAAGCAATTTTCCTTTTTTTTACCAGATCGTGCGGGAATTGGGGGTGGGTTATGTAACTGTAACTTATATGTAGAGAATCCTTATTTAGGTAGATTTGTAATTATTTAATTATCAATAGTATAATTATAATATTTTCTATTTCAATGTAGGAAACATAAAAATTTCCTAATAACAAAGAAAGGTCAATCAACGACGTCGTTGGATTCAGCCTTTTGCAGCTTCCTCGCCCTCGCTTTCCCCCCACTGAGAAATTTTACAGACGAGTTGCAGACTTGTATGGTACACTTTTCCCGCCATCTCTCAGTCCGCCATTACAGTTGATGTTCTTCACGCGCCACTTCCCACGCTCCATTCTCATTTCTCTCTCTCTTAATCTCGCGGGAAGGGCTTATTTCCGCTCCTCTCTATTATTTCCCCCAAATTGTTTATTCATCGGCGCCAAGTTAAACCCTAGCCTGAGAAAAATGTCCACCTCCCGCCGCTCGGCCTTCGACGTTCTCATGTCCAATGCTTCAAAGAAGAAGAAAGAGGAGACTCAGTCTCAAACCCCCAAGTCGCAAAAATCGTCGCCCAGAAAACGCAAAACCCCAGCTGAAATTTCCAAAACCTCAAATCCGAGCTTTAATAACGCTGATTCGACAGGAAAGCCCCAAGAAGTTGTGGAGAAATCCAATTCTTCCCAAATTGTAGATGCTGAACTGATTAAGAGCCCGCTGAATAAAAGTGCTGCTGACACCCTTGTTCCCAAAGAATCAAGCTCCAAACAGGATGCATCAGATAATGCGGGTTTGAACGAGGCCATGGTGGAGAAGAAGAAAGCGAGGGCATCAATCAGCCCGGACGACAGTGTGTTGGAGTTGAAGAAGAAGCCTGTGAATTTCAATGTGAAGAAGGCGGTCTATTGGGGGCAGGGGGAAAGGGTGCCTTTCATGTTTGTGGTGAAGGCATTTGATGCTATAGATAAGGAAAAAGGTCGTATAGCCATTACGGAGATTGTGTGTAATATGCTGAGGACGGTGATCGAGACAACGCCGGATGATTTACTGGCGGTTGTGTACCTTCTGGCGAATAGGATTGCACCTGCGCATGAGGGCTTGGAGCTTGGTATTGGGGATGCTTCAATTATCAAGGCACTTGCAGAGGCTTATGGGGCTAAAGAAGCACACATTAAGAACCAATACAAGGTGATTAATGGAGTTAGCTGTGTGTCGATTTAAGTTTTGGAATTGGTGGCTTTCCTTTTGTTTTGTTCTTTGACTGTGAGAAATTGCAGTTGACCTGGGCGTATACACTACGTTGTGCAAATATTGCAATTGATTCTCCTCCTATCTCTTTCTGTTTAATTGGTAAGATGAATTTACTTTTTCCAGAGTATTATGGGAGTACCTATAGGGTTTTGATGGTCTGGGCTCGTCTCACATAGCATTTGTCAGGAAACGCCATTTAGAAAAATATTAGGTTGAGTTTTGATAGCATTTTTAACAGGCTCTGGGTCTTGTTTATCTTTTCAAGGAGTTATGGTTGATCATAATATTACAATGGAAAGAGAAATATTCTGTTGAAAAATGCCAATTATCTTGCTCAATAATGTTGATGTCATAAAGAAATATAACTTCTACTTTTGATAGGTTCTGTCATTTTATTCCCCTCGAGGTGATTGTATTAGCCAGGGGCGGACCAATGAGGTTCATGGGGTGAAAAAAATGATGACTGAATTATATATATAATATCGAGTATAATATTCACCTCCATTTCGTCCAAGCCCCAGTTGTATGCATTATCTTCTCTTCATTGTCTTTTTTTTTTTTTTTTGATGGAGAACTTTGTAATACTGTGATATAAGTATATTATTTGACTGTTAGATTAATAGTCAATGGTAGTTTGGAAATAATAGTTTTTAGTGAAGTAATCTATCCTATGGGGTCTTCACTTTTCATGCTATTCATGATTTTAATTTATTAATTTTATTGTTAAGATAATTTTTAAGTCTTGAATTGAATAGGTTGATTGAGATTTCTAGTATGTGATTTTTCTATGTAATTGGCTTGGATTATTAACGCGTTTGTAGATTTAATGAAATTTAATAATGGATTTGTAAGTTTAATCAGACTGATGTAAATTTTTAGAATTGTATTACTTAGGTTTCAAACATTATTTATGTACAGTTTACTTTCATTTTTTTATAATACATCTGCAACCCCAAATTTGAAATTAAATGGTCCGTCCCTGGTATGAGCAATAGGCTGGTCTGGCAAAGTCAGCTGAACTTATAGCACTTCCAAATCATAGGATTCATCTCTGGCTGCAAAAATATTATATCTGTTTTCGAATTAATGAAAAAGGAAAATTCAGCAGTATATGTTTAAAACTGAAATTCTGTTCCTTTCTTGAAACCAAAAAATAAAATAAAAAATAAATGGTATATGGTAGCAGGGGCCATAGACTTAAACAAAATAATCATTAGGTAAATAAAAGCATATATTGATGTATATGATTGTTTCGTATCTATTCCCACTGATAGCATGTGATTTTTACACAACATGCTTCTCATTTATCTCACGTACTGCTCTGGGAAGAAGTCCTTTTGGTTGTGCTCATTTGTGCTTCCTGTAATATGTTTAAATCCACAGTACCATTGATATGGTAGGCACTTTGTAACAATGATGGACGTCATGACGAATTGTTTCTGTTTGCTTATATTTGTTGATTTGTTGTAGTTTCTATTCTCAAGGTTACTTAATTGTAGGAACGTGGAGATTTAGGCCTCGTTGCAAAGGCCAGTCGGTCTTCTCAGCCTTTGATGCGTAAACCTGAAGCATTAACTGTTACTAAAGTTTTCGAATCATTCCGGCTTATTGCTAAGGTACTTTGTTGATACTGTTTCTACTCTTTCTATGTGCAGTTTCACAATGGATCTTCTTATGTAATAACTTTTTAGGCCTCCAATTTAGAGGTCACATCTTTCTTTACATATATATATTCCTATGAAAAAGATTAATGATCGATATAATCACGCATATGGTCAGGCTGTTACACCGATGACAACATGCAAGAAGTGAATTTGAGATTCACTCAATGTTTCTGTTGTTTGTACATTTGTTTGGAGCACATAGATTGGTGATTTAACAATTACTTAATCTGGACACTGTTTTTGGATTTATTTTGTTTTAAATTTTCCCAATATTTATGGCAGAATGAGTCTAAACCATTGATGATCTTCTTTGAAATTTTGACATAGTTATTCCATTGTGCGTACTTCCGCAGGAATCCGGCAAGGATAGTCAAGAGAAAAAAAAGAATCACATAAAGGCACTGCTAGTTGCAGCTACTGATTGTGAACCTCAATATTTGATTCGTTTGCTCCAGGTCAGTTATATGCATTTATTTGAGGTTCCATTTGTTCTATCTCACATATAATAAACATGGTTTGAGAAATATATGCAGACAAAATTGCGTATTGGTTTGGCAGAACAAACACTCTTGGTAGCACTGGGCCACGCTGCCGTTTATTCTGAGAAGCATTCATCTCCTTTAAAGGTTGATAGTCCTCTTGAAGAAGTAAGTCAGTACACCCTTAAGTCGACTTATCCTTTTCCCTCAATATTAGGCGTGCCACCATCTCTCCTAGATTACTTATATATATATATATATATATAGAGAGAGAGAGAGAGAGAGGTTGAGTTCACATGAGAATGATGTTTAGTGAAGAAAATGATAACAAATTGTAGCCATTAGATCGGATGATCCAACAGTCATAAAAAATTAGCAATTATATAGTCATTAAGGGTATATTAGACATTTTATTATTAGCCATGGGACCCATACCAATTACTCATTCACACACTTCCAATAAATTAATGACATGTGGCCCACTACCATCACACCACCCATCCCAGCTGTCATATCTCCATCTCTCTCTCTCACAGATGCACTCACACACAAAACACGCACGGAGCCCCTCAACTCACACACACACTCACAGTCCTGTACCACCTTCCCCGACTCTGCCGGAAATTGTCCGACCGAAGGCTCAGGCGCCGGCGCACCTCGGTCATGTCCAGTCGACGCGACCGAGTTCCACGTAAACTCCGCCGTGGCCCAGCCTCTGCCGCACATTGGTGTTGTGGATATTCCGTGAAAGACACATTCTTCCACAGCCACCTGCTCGCCCACCTCATGCTCATCCACCAACTCCACCACCGACCTCACACTTTCCTCCACCGCATCGGAAAATCGAGTTTCAAGCTCGAAACTCGAGCCGTTAATGGCGAATTTAAAAAAGAACATCAACTTGACGGTTCCGCTGCTGAACCCCAAGACAAATCAGCTAAGCACCGCCGCATCTCCGCCAGGTCCAGCCGCGCTGCCGGAGGTGGACGCGGGACTGTAACTCTTTAGTCATGACATCAATTTCTACGTGGGCATATTTTTGTAAATTAGAATAGATTTAAGGGCTTGATTGAAGAATAATATATTTTGGTTATTTTCAATTTACCCCATGGGCTAAATCTAAAATTTATAAAAATATATTACAAATTATTATTTTTTATATTTAAGAATTGTTAAATTAATAAATATACTTTTATACTAGTGAATAATAAATTATATCAATTAATTAACATAATTCAACCTACAATTATATCAATTAAACATAGTTTTCAAAAAACACATAATTCATATGTGATCATATAAGTATTGCACTTTATATATCAACACGTTGCACCTTACAAAACAACACATTGCACTTTAGTAAACAACACGTTGCACTTTATCACGCGTCAACAACTCCAACCAACATACCACACTACCATAAACATGTTAACATACGGAAATTAGAGTAGTACACTTTATACATCAACACATTGCACTTTATAAAATATGTTGCACTTTAGAAAACAACACGCTACACTTTATCACGACTATCAGATTGCACAATAGTGATCGAAACCAACTGAGATCGATTTTTCCCAACCAAAACAAATAACAACAACAACAACATACCCAGTAATACCCAACTGGTTGGCAAAACTAATAAAAGAATAATAAATAAATTTATTAATATAAATATAATTTTAATATAATAGGATAATTTAGTTAACCAAATCAAATAAACTAATTAATTATATTCATTTTCAATTTGATTTAGGACAAAGGTTCAGTTGGTTCAATATGCACAATATAGATCGACACATTGCACCATAATGATGTACAATTTGCACATTATAACTGTTATATTGCACCGTATATTTCGTTTACATATATATATAGTTTTTTTAAATTAAAAAGTAATAGATATTTTTCATTATGCATCGTACAATTTTCGTTTATTCATTAAGTACTAATCATATTTTTTTACAATAAATAATATAATTTATGTCAATTATTTTGTTTATTAGTTTATCCGAAGTATTAAACGATTATGTCGAAACCAAAATTTTTAGTTTGAATTTAAAAATTTTTGTTCCATTATCATTTTCTACATTAAAAAGCTCTGAGTATGACATTTAGTTTTCGACGTTTTCTTTGATTTTATTTAGATAACAAAAAAAAAAAAACTCTATTATTATTACTATTATTTAAAAGTATTATTATTTTCAGCATTTGATTTTTAATTAATCATTAATTTGACTCAAGGACTAAATTGAGTTATAATTAACTTTTCTTAATTGCATATGAGTCCGTAAGAGTTATCTAATTTTTGAACTTAGACCCCCTCAATACACAGCATCTGTTATCACCATTCTTACGACCCTTCTCAATGACGGTTCCTTCTCGCCGGCCGCCACCTCTCGTCGGCCGATTCTCGTCTTCTCATGTTCGAAGCCGGCCAATCCCAACATCGATTGCCATATTCGATTTCACACCTCCGATGCCCCTTTGCTTATACTGTACGACATCGCCTCTTTCAAAATCGTCCTCATCGGAAACAGCTAGAGGACGAGGTTGAAAACGGCCGGCGCGAAGACGAGGTACTCCGACGAGATGCCGCAGATGAAGGCGCTGAGATCTGGGCAATTCGAGGCACGATTGCGGCGGCGTTAAAACACGATTGCGCGGATGCTGGCGGAAGATTGCGGCGGCGGTTGGCCGGGTTGTGGCCAATTGTCGGTGGCAGATTCAGCCAGGTTTGGGCTAGTTGGGGCGGCACCCATGAGAATGAATGTGTGTGTCTGTTCGTTGCGTGAATATGTGAGAGGAAAGTGTGTGTTTGTATGTGAGACAGGGTGATTATTGGTGTGGTTGGTGGGATGGGTGGGTCCACGTGGGTAGATGAGTGGAGAGTAAAAATGTCTATTTTGCCCTTATAGAATGGTTAATTGTATATATTTACTTCAACTTTATCATTTATTTACAATATTGCCACTCCATATTTGACTGGTATTAGTAATGTTTGACTTCATCATGTCCATTGATTTGATGAATCTAATGACCTACATTTATTCTTATTTCTTTCACTATCTTTCTTTCTCATATGATCCCTTCTCTCTCTCTATATATATATATATATATATTTATATGTATATATATATAAATATATAATAGTTGACAAAAGAATTATGACAATTGTTTTTGTTTACCCGCTCTTTTCCATTTCATTTTGCATTAGTGAAGTAATTATATTTTTATTTATTTTATTACATAATAACTACTACAAACCAGTGTTCTAGAAGTAGCGCCTAGAGCGCCTAGTCGGGGCCTAGGCGGGGCCTAGAAATTATAATAAATATATTATTTTTTATTTATTTTTACAATTTCACTAATGAAATTATAACTTATAATTAATAAATCCATACACCTAAGTCCCAATAATATTTCTAATATTATATTATAAAAAAAAACTCCGAGTCAAAATAAGTACATAACCACAATATAACTTCTTCTCATTGTAATTTTATCAAACACATTATCTACATGTTATGTTTTAAATATTACACAACAACATAAGATAAATATAAAAAAATTATAAAATAATAAATTATAAGATTTATTATTTAAACTAAATGCATTTAGTAAAAAAAAAAATTATAAAAACTGCCTAGAACCCGCCTCGGCCACCTAGAACCCGCCTCAGCCGCCTACTCCCGCCGAAACCGCGTAGCCGCCGAGGCCACCGAGCTCCGCCTAGGCCCGACTAGGCGCCGCCGAGCCCGCCCGGCCGATTTGGCCAAATCGTAGGCGTTGTACCGGCGCCTAGCGCCTAGGCGGCCGCCTAGGCCAACTTTTCGAACACGGCTACAAACTAATCATAAAGTCGCATTAGATGATATTCTATTCTAAAACTTTTCTTTTTTCTTTCAACTCATTAAGCAAGTTTTTTATTGAAATTTGTTAATTATGATTTATGGCATAGCCAAACTCTGTAAAATTTCATACATAATTGCTATAATAATAATTTTAATATTGTTTTTATGGTCATAATCAGACAAGATTGCAAAAATTACATAGTGCAATAAATATAAAGATTTATGTCATTCTTTTTTACAATAAAATTTATAAAGTGTGATGCTCAATATCTAACTCATGATTTTAAATATTACAAACACACACATATAACCTATATTTTTTTCTTTTTCGCATTTGTGCATGTGCATAGGACCGAATACTATTCTGCATAATAATAATGAAGAAGAAATTATTTTTACTCCATTGTTTTAATAATTTTTCAATCCGCTTTGCCATGATAAACAAAATAAAATTTACTATATTCTAAAATTTTAGTTTCTTCATTGTTGCAGCATAGTGTTGAACTTTGATGATTTTTCACTTCATAGTGCATCTACATAATTGGAATTGTATGTTGCTTCAGCCATTATTATCGATTACCTTAAAGGATTTTAATTTACTCTACCCTTAAAACTTCTTTTCTGTCTGGCAGGCCGCAAAGATTGTCAAACAAGTTTATTCTGTAATTCCAGTCTATGATAAAATAGTTCCTTCTCTTCTGTCTGGTGGCGTGTGGAATCTCCCAAAGACATGTAGCTTTGCACCTGGCATTCCAGTTGGGCCTATGTTAGCTAAACCAACTAAGGGAGTATCTGAAATTGTGGAAAAGTTTCAAGATATGGAGTTCACCTGTGAATACAAGTATGATGGAGAACGTGCTCAGGTAATGTTACCTAACAAAAGAAATATACTAGAACTTTTAAGGCTTGACATAAAGGGTGTTTTTTAACTGACAACTTTCTATTTAGATACACTACATGGAGAATGGTTCAGTGGAGATATACAGTAGAAATGCTGAGAGGAATACTGGAAAGTTTCCAGATGTTGTTGCCACTATTGAAAGGTATTTGGTGAATAACATTATGCATTCTTCTTTGTTTTTCAATTTGTGCCTTATTCTCAAAACTCAAGTAATTCCTGTGCAGTCTGGTCATATGAACTTAAGTTTCCATAATAATTTTTGGAGAAGCTTTTAGTGAGATACCTAGGAAACTGGCTCGATGGTCACACTTTGTGGAGATCACTTGAACCTACTTTTGCGTTCACAATTTTTATCACTATAGGTAGTTTAATGTTTAGTTGTTACTCGTTATTATTTAATCCTTGTAGAGTCAACTTCTTGTATCATTTTTTCTGAGAGATTTTACTATGCTGGAAAATTTCTTGAGTTTTCTCTCTCTGGGTTTGTGGAGTGAGATTTTATATTTCTTGCCAATAGTCACTAGTATTTTCCATCTAAGTGCAGATTAAAAAAGCCTTCTGTGACGTCATTTGTTCTTGACTGTGAACTTGTTGCATACGACCGTGAGAAGCAGAAAATTCAACCTTTCCAGGTGAAGATTTTGTCACCATTCGTTTCCTACTTGGACAAAAAATGGTCTTCAGATAATTCATTTTTGGCCATTTCCTCTTTCTTTTTTCTTATGTTTACTTTGCGCTATGGCTTCTTGCTTGCTAGTTTTCACTGCAACAATGAAATTGATCTCAAACCATGTCATAGTTGTACCAGAATAATGATTCTAACTGCTATTCGAACTTGTTTTATATAAATCTGGATTTATTTTGGACCTGTATAAGGCATTTTATTCGACTTATGATACTTTCCAAATTTATCTTTGTCAGATTCTCAGCACTCGTGCTCGGAAAAATGTTGTCATGAGCGATATCAAAGTTAATGTGTGCATATATGCTTTTGACATGCTGTATCTAAATGGACAACAACTCCTGCAGGAGCAACTCTGTGTTCGTCGAGAGGTATAATTCTTTGTCGCTTAATTGTCTCAGACTTCTCATTATATTATATAATGTATTCTTGTTATTAACTGGAACTCTTCTATGTGCTTCTACATATTATTTGTTTACATCGTTGATGAAATAAATCATCAAGTTCAATCCTTTCTATGTCAGCACCCATATTTTTGCTTATTCCTGTTGGAAGTTTAAATGTCGTTTTGGTCCTCATTGTCCTTCCTGTCATGCAACAATATCTACTCATTTGTTGATCCTATTGATGCAGCATCTTTATGAGTCAGTTCAAGAAGAACATGGTTTTCTCCAGTTCGCCACTGCTATTACATCAAATGATCTTGAGGAAATACAAAAGTTTCTTGATGATGCTGTTAATTCTAGGTAAATTTAATTTGTATGGTGTCTAGTCACTTCGGTACTCTGGCTTATAACGGACATGAATATCATGTCTAACATCAGGTATGTCCGTAGTTGTGTTTTTTCACTATTGAATCTACTGTAGGACATGAAGGTAGCTCGTTCTTCAACTATGACCAAGCATGTTGCACTTGCGGTTGATTTGGTGTCATTTTTGACTATATGGAGTGGAAGATAAATAGTTTTTATTTCATGAAAGGTGTTAAGTAATATCAGTAATTCATCTCTTCTTAGTCATATTATTTGCTTTCAGCTGTGAGGGGTTGATCATCAAAACATTGAATAAAGATGCTACGTATGAGCCTGCAAAACGATCAAATAATTGGCTCAAATTGAAAAAGGATTATATGGAAAGGTAAGCCCTTACGATATTAATTGGTTAGCTAAAATGTCGACTTATCTCATTTCTTGAGGTTATAGTACTTTCGTTATGGTCTGCAGTATTGGCGATTCTCTAGACTTGGTTCCTATTGCTGCATTCCATGGCAGGGGCAAACGCACTGGTAAATTAATGATAGCCCTCTCTCTCTCTCTCCTCTCCCATTTTCTAAGGACTGCAATTTGCTTTGTGTTCTAACTTTCTCTATTGTAATTCTATATTCTCTGCGGCCTTGGTTTTTCCCCCTCTCAATCTTTCTCATCAGGTGTCTATGGTGCCTTTCTCCTTGCTTGTTATGATAGTGACAAAGAGGAATTCCAGAGCATATGCAAAATTGGTATAGCAAACACTTTATACATCTACACTGTCATGCCATTTTTTAATTCTAGTACCTGCCTGGCAAGATACATTTGTATTGCTACTTTTGGTTCTATAACACATCTTCCTATTTTTATATAGCAATGTGGAAACTTTTTTTTTTTTTTTTTTTT